CTGATCTGTCTGTCCAAAATAGCCACTGGCTCCTCAACATAGGATAGATCCTTGTCCAACTGGACTGAACTGAAATCCAACACGTGCGACGGATCACCGTGATACCTCCGGAGCATCGAAACATGAAATACCGGATGGACTCCGGCCAAGCTGGGAGGTAAGGCAAGCTCATAAGCAACCTCCCCAACTCGCCTCAAGATCTCAAAAGGGCCAATAAACCTCGGACTCAACTTTCCTTTCTTCCCAAACCTCATGACGCCCTTCATAGGCGAGACCCGAAGCAGAACCCGCTCACCAACCATATATGAAACATCACGAACCTTCCTGTCCGCGTAACTCTTCTGTCTGGACTGGGCTGCACGGAGTCTGCCCTGAATCACTTTAACCTTCTCCATCGCATCCTGAACCATCTCTGTACCCAATAACCTGGCCTCACCCGGCTCAAACCAACCCACCGGAGATCTACATCTCCTGCCATATAAAGCCTCATACGGCGCCATCTGAATGCTGGACTGATAACTGTTGTTATAAGCAAACTTCGCCAATGGCAAGAAATGATCCCAAGACCCTCCAAATTCAATCACGCACGCACGGAGCATGTCCTCAAGAATCTGAATGGTGCGCTCGGACTGTCCGTCCGTCTGGGGGTGGAATGCCGTGCTCAACTCCACTCGAGTGCCTAACTCCTGCTGCACGGCTCTCCAGAACCGCGATGTAAACTGAGTGTCTCTGTGTGAGATGATAGAAACTGGAATACCATGCAACCGGACGATCTCCCTGATATAGATCTCCGCCAACCGCTCCGATGAATAAGTGATACACACAGGTATGAAATGAGCGGACTTGGTCAGCCGGTCCACAATGACCCAAATAGAATCAAACTTCCTCACGGTCCGTGGGAGTCCAGATACGAAGTCCATGGTGATACGCTCCCATTTCCACTCCGGAATCTCTATCTGCTGGAGTAACCCACCCGGGCGCTGGTGCTCATACTTCACCTACTGGCAGTTAAGGCATCTAGACACATAACCAACTATGTCCTTCTTCATCCGCCTCCACCAGTAGTGCTGCCTCAGGTCCTGATACATCTTCGCGGCACCCGGATGGATGGAATACCGCGAACTATGGGCCTCTGCTAGGATCATCTCTCGAAGGCCATCAATATTGGGCACACAAATCCAGCCCTGCATCCTCAATACTCCATCATCTCCAATGGTCACATCCCTGGCATCACCACGCTGAACCTTGTCCCGAAGGGCAAGCAAATCAGGGTCATCACACTGCCGCTCCCCGATACGGTCAAATAGGGAAGACCGGGAAACCACACAGGCTAGAACCCGACTGGGCTCCGAAAGATCCAACCTCACGAACTAGCTGGCTAAGGCCTGAACATCCATCGCCATAGGCCTCTCTGAAGCTGGTAAATATGCCAAACTCTCCAAACTCTCCGCCCGGCGACTCAAGGCATCCGCCACCACATTGGCCTTGCCCGGGTGATATAGGATAGTGATGTCATAATCCTTCAGCAGCTCTAACCACCTCCTCTGACGCATATTGAGATCCTTTTGCTTGAGCAAGTGCTGTAAACTCCGATGATCAGTATAGATCTCGCAAGGCACTCCATATAAATAATGACGCCAGATCTTCAAGGCATGAACAATGGCAGCTAACTCAAGGTCGTGGACAGGGTAATTCTTTTCATGTATCTTCAACTGTCTGGACGCGTAGGCAATCACCCTACCGTCCTGCATCAACACTGCTCCAAGGCCAACTCTCGAGGCGTCACAATAGACAGTATAAGACCCCAAACCTGTAGGCAACATCAAGATAGGGGCTGTAGTCAAAGCTGTCTTGAGCTTCTGAAAGCTCGCCTCACACTCCTCTGTCCACTGAAATGGGGCAGCCTTCTGGGTCAATCTAGTCATAGGGGCAGCAATCGATGAAAATCCCTCCACGAAATGTCGGTAGTAACCCGCCAAGCCAAGGAAACTGCGAATCTCTGTAGCTGAGGACGGCCTGGGCCAACTCTGCACGACCTCTACCTTCCTCGGATCCACCCGAATACCCTCACTAGAAATCACATGGCCTAAGAATGCCACAGAACTCAGCCAAAACTCACATTTTGAGAACTTTGCATATAACTTTTTCTCCCTCAAGGTTTGTAGCACGGTCCTCAGATGCTGCTCATGATCTTCCCGACTCCGGGAATACACCAGAATATCATCAATAAAAACAATCACGAACGAGTCAAGATATGGCCTGAACATACTGTGCATCAAATGCATGAAAGCTGCAGGGGCATTGGTCAGCCCAAATGACATGACAAGGAACTCGTAATGGCCATATCGAGTCCTGAAGGCAGTCTTCGAGATATCTGGCTCCCGAATCTTCAACTGATGGTACCCTGAGCGCAAGTCAATCTTAGAAAACACTTGTGCGCCGTGAAGCTGGTCAAACAGATCGTCAATGCGAGGTAAAGGATATCGGTTCTTCACTGTAACTTTGTTCAACTGGCGATAATCAATGCACATACGCATAGAACCATCCCTCTTCTTCACAAACAAAACAGGGCCCCCCATGGTGAAACACTGGGTTGAATAAAACCCTTACCCAACAATTCCTGCAACTGATCCTTCAACTCTTTCAACTCAGGAGGAGCCATACGGTACGGAGGAATGGAAATGGGCTGAGTGCCCGGCAACAGATCAATGCCGAAATCAATGTCTCTATCAGGCGGCATGACCGGAAGATCAGCTGGAAATACATCGGAATAATCCCGTACCACTGGAACAGAATCAACAGAAGGGGTATCAACACTAACATCTCTCACATAAGCCAAATACGCGGCACACCCCTTATCAACCATGCACTGAGCTTTAAGAAAAGAGATAACTCTACTGGGAGTACGATCTAAGGTACCACTCCACTCAACACGCAGAATACCTGGCATAGCCAGCGTCACGGTCTTGGCGTGACAATCAAGAATATCAAAATGGGGCGACTACCAGTCCATGCCCAAAATAATGTCAAAATCCACCATACCGAGTAATAATAAGTCTGCTCTGGTCTCAAAACCACGAACAGTAACCAAATATGACCGATAAACGCGGTCCACAACAAGAGAATCTCCCACAGGAGTAGAAACATAAACGGGGGCACTCGAAGAATCCCGAGGCACACCCAAATGCGAAGCAAAATAAGAGGACACATATGAATAAGTGGAGTCGATATCGAATAGAACCGATGCCTCTCTGTGACAAACCAGAATAATACCTGTGATGACAGAATCGGAGGCAACCGCCTCCGTATGAGCAGGAATGCAATAATATCTGGCCCGACCCTCTCACGAGGGCGACCTCTATCTCCCCGGCCTCTGCCCCTGGCAGGCTGGGTAGGTGGAGCAGCAGTGGGAGCTGGAACCATAGCCTGAGAACTCTGAGAAGCACGCTGTGGCTGAGCAGTCTGTGAAGATGCACCCCTACCAAGTCTGGGGCAGTCCCTAACCAAGTGACTTGTATCACCACACTCGAAGCAAGCTCTGGGAGGACGTGGTGGCTGTGACTGACTGGAGCTAGGTCCGCTGGACTGACCTCTAGAGGTACCCCGCGCAGGAGGCGCGCTAGAAACTGGAGGCGCATAATAAGGCTCCTGAGGTGCTGGTGCAGCTGGAGTACTACCGGCTGCTGGCAAGGCTGAATGAACAGGGCGACCAGAATAACCCCTACCATAACATCGGGCTGATGAAGTACGGGCACCAGAGTAATGACCCAACTCTCGAGACCTCTTGGCCTCCCTCTCCCCTTCGCTCCCTGGCGAGCATACCCTCAACCCGTCTAGTAATGCTCACTACCTGCTGGTAGGGAATATCCATCTCCAACTCTCGGGCCATGCTGAACCGGATGGGCGGAATAAGACCCTCGATAAACCTCCGCACTCTCTCCCGAACTGTGGCGACCAAAGCCGGTGCATGTCTGGCCAACCTAGTATAATGGATGGCATATTCTGAGACTGTCATAGCACCCTGGCGCAAACGCTCAAACTCCGCGCGCCATGAATCTCTGAGGCTCTAGGGAACAAACTCTCTCATAAACATGTCCGAGAACTGGGTCCAAGTCAGTGAAGCAGCCTCGACTGGACTGTCTAACTCATAAGTGCGCCACCAATCATAGGCAGCCCCCCGAAGCTGAAAGGCAGTGAAGGAAACCCCGCTGGACTCCACTATGCCCATAGTGCGAAGAATACGATGACACTCCTCTAGAAATCCCAAGGCATCGTCTGATGCTAAGCCACTGAACATTGGGGGATCATATTTCTTAAACCTCTCAAGTCTCTGCTGCTCGACCTCTGAAGCAGCTGACCCATCCTCGGGCTGAACTGGCGCTGCAGGCGGTGGGGGAATAATCTCAGGAACCTGATCAACCTGCACTCGCTGCTCAGGAGTGCGAACGGCGGGAGTCTGTGCTCCTCCCCCGGCCTGGGATTTGGCTGCAGCGAGGGGGAGCAACCCCGCCTGAGCCAAAGTAGTGTACATGCTCATGAACTGAGCCAGGGTCTCCTGGAGCGCTGGAGTAGTAGTAGCTATAGTAGGTGTACCAGGTGCTGGTGCTCCAACTGGATCTGCTGGTGGTACCTCAGCGGCAGCGCGCGCGGGTGCCGTGGCTGCACCTCGGGCGCGTCCTCGACCTCTTCCCAGGCCCCGGCCTCTGACGGCGGCAGCAGGGGGCGCGGGTGCCTGGTCCTCTCGTGTAGCACGTGTCCTCACCATCTGTGAGAGAATAGAAGACAGAAGTTTAGATTTGGTGTCAAAACATCGCACGACAAGAAATTCAAAAGAAATGAAGATTTTTCCTAAACAGTTATATAGCCTCTCGTAGATAAATACGGACGTCTCCGTACCGATCAGCGAGACTCTAAAAAACCGGCCTGTGTCCCGTGACTCCTATGAACCTAGCACTCTGATACCAACTTGTCACGACCCTAGTTCACCAATTGTGAACACGTCATGACGGCACCTAGTCTTCACGACAGGTAAGCCTAACACATTGCGGAAGTAACAATATTTGTGAAATTTATATTCGAAAGCTAAATAACATGAGAAATGTATACAGTTGCCGCCTGGCACATACACTTTAATACAAAATACTAAAATAACCTCCAAGACCCGGAAACCCACGGGCAACACAGGCTATAAGAAGTCTTACACTGCTCTAGTCACCAGAATAATATAATACAAAGAGGGATTGAAATAACATCTAACAACTATGGATAAAATGAGAAGGAGACTTTGCGGATCTGCGGACGTAGCAGATGTATACCTCAAGTCCCCAATACGCTCCCTGACAGCTACTGGCGGTACGCCTGCTCAGAAACACCTGGATCTGCACATGAAAAACATGCGCAGAAGAGGCGTGAGTACACCACAGCGGTACTCAGTAAGTGCCAAGCCTAACCTCGGTTGGGTAGTGACGAGGAAAAGTTCAGGGCCCTACTGAGACAGAAACAACAAAATAGCAAGATATTAACAGTATCGAAGTTTGATGAAAACTAATGAACACAACGATGTGATAAGACAAATCAATGGAATATAGTACTGCAAGACAAAACAGAAACACAGAGTAAATACAGCAAAATTACAAGAATACCGACGAGGGTCTCCCAGGATACCGTCCTGTGGCCCTTTTCTCAACTGTCCAATGGAACTTCCGGGATACCGTCCTGTATTCCAAATCTCATATCAATATCAACAGATCTCCTGGGATACCGTCCCGTAATCCAATCATCAGTGTGCAGGGAGATCTCCCGGGATACCGTCCCGTAGTCCAGAAATAAAAGTGCAGGGGAATCTCCCGGGATACCGTCCCGTAGTCCCAAAATAAAATGCAGGGGGATCTCCTGGGAATCAAACCCGTAGTCCCAAAGTAAATAATCAAGGGGGGGACCCCCGGAATCCGCATCCGTAGTCCCAATGTAAATGCGCAACCAACATCAACGATTTATTCAGAAATTTAAGTACAACAATACAAGGCATCAATAATACTGGCCTAACATGCTCCACGTAATCACAATTAAGACAATTAAAATAAATAGGCAGCTTGGATCAATTAAACATGCTCTTCTACGCTAGCACAGACTATAAAAACAAGTAAAGTAAGGCAAATATGAAAGAGAATCCAAATCAAGTATTTAAGTAAAAATCCGGGTTTCAACAATTTGCTCAAGTACGCGCTCGTCACCTCACGTACAAGGCATTCAATTACCAATTATCACATCCTAAGGGACGAAGTCCCCCACACAAGGTTAGGCAAGCCACTTACCTCGAACCGGTGCGAAATCAACTAGGGAACGATGCCCTTGCCACGAGTATCCGACTCCAAATGGCCCAACTCTATTCAATTTAATTACAAATCGTAAATAATATTGCAAACAACTGATTCCACTATTGAAACTAAAGCTAAGGCGCGAAAATAGGTGAAATGACCAAAACGCCCCTCAGGCCAACGTCTCGGAACCGAATAATTTTCACATTTTCAGAAACCTCGTACTCTCACAAGTCTAACCATATAAAAATATCAGAAATCGGAGGTCGAATTCCCCCTCAAAACCCAATAGTTTAGTCAATGAACTTTCACCCAAATTCTTCCATTTTTGATCCTTAATTCGAATTTAAAAGGTGGATTTAACTACTAAATGATAGAATATAATTAGAAAGGATCATAGAAATGTTACCCAATAATCTCCTCTCCAAAATCCTCTCAGAATCGCCCTTGCCCGAGCTCAAAATTGATTTTCAAACTTATGAAATTAAACCCTCGAAATTTCCTATTTCTGCCCAGACATTTCCGCTTCTGCGGACAAGGGACCGCTTCTGCGGTCCTGCTTAAGCGGCAAAATAATCGCTTCTGCTGTTTCTCATTAAAGGGGGAAATTCCGCTTTTGCGGACACATGACCGCTCCAGCGGTTCCGCTTCTGCGGAAAGATGACCGCTTCTGCGGTCTCTGAGGGGAAGCCAAAAATCGCTTCTGCGATGAGGAAGCCGCTTCTGCGATTCCCAAACAAGAAACCCGATTAAATCAAGGATTCAAGCCTAAGGACTTCAAATTCTAACCAAATACGCTTTCGATCAAAAACCTAACCAAACCTCGTCCGAATGACCTGAAATTTTGCACACACATCCCAAATGACATGACGGAGCTACAACAACTTCCGGAATTCAAATCCAACCCTCGGATCAAAAACTCACTATCGAACCGGAAACTTCAAAAATCCAAACTTCGGCATTTCAAGCCTAAATGAGCTACGGACCTCCAAATAACATTCCGAACACGCTCCCAACCCCGAGATCACCTAACGGAGCTAACGGAACCATCGAATTTCCATTCCGAGGTCGTCTTCACACTGTTCCGAATACGGACCATTTTCAACTCTTAAACTCTCATTTAGGGACTAAGTGTCCCAAAACACTCCGAATTCTAATACCGAACGTCCCGACAAACCAAAATAGCAGAAATGAACTTAGGGAAAGCAGTTAATGGGGGATCGGGGCGTAAATTCCAAAAATGACCGACCGGGTCGTTACAAAGCCCGTCAAAACAAAAGAGTTGATGGTTCCCGTAAGTTATAGATATCCATGTATAACCTAAATAAACTCAGAGGAGTTTAAGACTAGGAGCATTTAGAAAAGAGGAAATGCTGCCCTGCTAGTGGAATAAGGGTGTCATTGTGATAATTGATAAATGGATGACACTTAGGCCTTCGATTGAGTAATGATTTAGAGAAAAAGGGAATTTATGAATGGCATTGGATTAGAATATCCCCATAAAATGAACCATGTTAGGATGCTACGAAATAATATAAATGAAGTATTTTATCGTTCCTAGGTGGATCATGCAAATAACTTCACATGTTCCTCGAGGAGATGTGAGCCCTAACGATAATGTATTGCGTAAGTGATTTCAAGTTATCAGTTGTAGATTATAGATCAACATTAAGGTGGATCAACAATAGGCGGATAAAATTTCTAAAGTATGAGATGATATTAGGCTGTCATTCTTAAGATGAACAGTAATGAGGAAGAACTAAAGGACTTAGATTTATACATATAGGATAATCTGCGAGAGAGTAACCTGGAGCTGGGCAGCAAACCTCGGTAATAATAAACCGAAGTAAGTGTTATGGTATAGTATAACCTACATAGATGTAGTAAAGCCATAAGGATAGATATACAAGGCTACGAAATAAAATATAGCAACAGTCGTAAGTTGGACAAAGTATCGCGCGAAGAACTTTAATACACCTATATATACCGGGAGGAACAACTTGTCATAATTCAATTTTATAGGTGTTCAACCCATAAAATTGAAGATCTATGAGTCTATTTTCTGACGCATTAAACTGTTTATCAATACGGCCTTGGAGTAGAGAG